CCAACACTGGGGTGTTTACAATGGATTTGTATCTTGGTTTCCGTTCCTTTTTGGTTTTGAGCGAAACATGTTGTCGTCTCCTGGTGGTATCAGCCAACACTTGTGTGAGATTGTATATTGTCTTTTTAGGATAACCAACTATAAACCAGTGAGTTTGTGAAGTTTATCTGGTTTCTTAATCTATGCATTGCATTTTGATGTGCAGGACTTGAGAGAGAAGGTGAAGAGAAAGGAAAAAGATCTGGTAATCTTTCCCTTCTACATGGGATGTCGGTTGAATGGTTGAAGGCAGGGGGAACTCACTCGTCGTATCAAAGCCACTGGATGGACTAAGAGATCTGTAGAGATAGGCATTTTCATGTTTCTTTTCCTTTTCCATTTGGTGGGTCTTGGTCATGGGAGTTTGTAAAATTTGGATCGAATGGCGATATTGGTCTTGTGTCAGCTTGTGCTACATACATACCACCATTGTAAAATTTGTATTGTATTGTGTGGCAGGGAGTAGGTAGTTTTGGCAATATCAAGAACTAGGAAACAAATTGGATTGGTTGGCTGTCATTTTGGCTCAAATGGTTATTTTTATTTCTCCATGAAGAAATGAATGTTCGTTCGTTCTTTTATTCAGTACTGTATTGTGCATGAAAACTCATGAGTCCGCACCTATCTAGTATGTGTATTTATGTTGATGAAATCGGCTGGCTGATGATTTTTGAGACATCATTCGGTTGGCAAGTTGTGATGCCAAAAAATGATGATGATTTTTTTGTGTTGATGAAATCGGCTGGCTAATAAGTGATCTTTGATACAACTGGACCATGGAACTTATAATAAATGTTGATGATTTTTGGTAAGTGCTTTCAAGTTTACCACTATTAAAGAAACTGTTGGCATCTATATATGTTTACCTTCACCTGCTGTTTGTGTGTGTGATTGTCAGCAGGATAATTTGGCTGGCCAGTAGACCGTTTTGTTGTTGTCCTACTTGACATGGTAGTGGAGGTCTGTTTTCGTCGCCGGTTGTTATCCTGCTTGACATGGTAGTGGAGGTCTGTTTTTGTCGCCGTGCACAGCAACTTGAGAAGGAAGCTCTAGACAATCTGTGTTTCCTTGTTTCCTTAATTATAATGTGATCTAGCTAGCTAGGTTGTTCTAGTCATATCCATTTTCTGATTTGGAGCATAGCGTTGAATCTGTGTACTTACTATCTAACTGTTATATACAAGTGATCTTCGCTCTCTTCTCTAATATATATGTATATAAATCTATTACTCTGAGTCTAGGAAAATGTCTGCTCGGCATCTACCATGGCCATAGTAAG